AGATAAAAAATGTTTACAATTTAAAAAATGTTAACAAATTTTATAACATAAAATTGCAAGTAACAATTGTCCATGTTTTTTTTGCATTGCTCGCAGGTGAAATGAGGTGCCCAGGGTTTGTCTTGATCCCCGACAGGCATGCCAAAATATGCCTTGTAAGCCTCACACATCTTAGCAGATGCTTCCAGAGTACTTTTTCGCTCTTGTCTTGATAAATTGGCTGCAGACATATAAAAATGCGTCTGCCGGATGCTTGCAGTCTCTTGATGCCATCTCAAAAAATGCAATTATGTATCCACTTAGGCAGCTGGAACTAATCTGAACTGGTGGGCTTAAGGCCCCTGTATTTAAACTACTATTTATACGATTTATATTACTGGGAAGTTCTAGAATGTTCTAGAAGTTACTCCAAGTTTACTCAGCACAGAATCTATCTGGAATGTTCTGGAAAATTTCAAAATATCAATGTCCTGGTGACAAAAGCAAAGTTTGTGGGGAATAATAGCCATTTTCTGTACTTTTGAGGCATAAGCAATTAGGAAATAACACTTACTACCCAGGAACAAAACAAAAACAACATTTACATAGTGTTATATAAATGCCTCTCCAACGGGTCTTTTGAAATTTGAGTGAAAAGGAAATACTCCTACATCAACAGAGCAGGCATTGTACTTGCTCAAGCCTCCACACACCATGGTAACCGTGGCATGACCGTGCACATTAAGCAAAAAAACTGGTGTTGGTAGCTACCACAAGGCACATAATGAGATACGGAGAAGTCAATACAGAGAAAGGGAAAAACAAAAAAAGCAGGGGAAGACATCGTGCGATGAAATAAAATGTGGAAGGTGACTACGAAATAACTGAGGCATGAAAAAAGAACGGGCGAGCTTTTACCCGGCTATGAAAAGTTACAGGTTGAAATCTATTTTAAAAAATATTCGATGCAGACTGCAGTAGTTAATGCCGATCTACTTGGACTACAGATCATAAGCACCGGCGTACAGCCCGCAATGTTATGCTGGCGCTCAAGGGCAAGCTGCCTGGAAAGTGGCCCCTGTCACAAGTGAAAACTATGGTCACCTGTTCAGCTCACACAGAATACTGTACTTGTGTAGATGGGTCGTAGAGCCATCTCGTGGGCATACTGCGTAAGTGCATAATTACGTTCATTTTAAGCGGCCGGCTATGTTGAACTTCTTCCGCGCCGTACTCCGTTAACCGTGACGTTCGAACCAAGTTTTCCCAAAATGCAGTCCTCGCGACCTACCACGTTTACCGATGTACTCCCCATCATTCAAATAAACTCGCTGCACCCGCCCGATGATTGTTAAACACATCCCACGTGACGCGCTAAGCAATCAACGCTCTCTGCCCCGTGGAACGAGTTAGTTTGTCTTTGAATGGGGAAAGACATTGATTATAACGTGGAAAGCCGTGGCGTGGGTGGGTATGAGTCTGGGGGAATTGCTGCGTAAGGTGGCCCCGTGCCCTTACCCCAGCGAATAAGGCAACAAGTCGCCATCTGCTGGGATTGCAAGTGTACAGCCGCAACGCACATTCATTTTTTTTCCCATTCATCTCGTTCGACAGAATGTAAAGATAATTTCGAGCAAGAAATGAACTTGCGTGCAGGTGCTAGACCAGGGATAACAAAAAAATCTACATTTTACGAGTGCACAACGAACGTGAATAACGTCAAGAAGCAGTCCTTCAGTTTCAGTTTCTTTATTTTGGTATAGCCCTGTGAGCCTTAAAGAGCCACATACGGCTCCGACCCCGGAGACTGCCGACTCCTGCGATGAAAAAAATGATTTTTGTATATATATAGCAGGGCGGCTTGGGAAGCCCTTCATCCAACAGTGGATTGACCATAGCTAATTGCTTAATCAAATAATGATCTACTTAAGGCGGACGCAGAAAAGCACGTTCCCGTTTTATTGGTCCTCTACGAGGACATACATTTTCATATTAATACTAGCAGCTCGCACGACCTTGGAACGTGACCATCCGTCCATCATTCCAGTCAAACGTCGATTCCTAATATAAGCGGCTGCATGTTCTTTCGACGAGACCCGTCCCTTCGTCCCTCCAGCAACCTTAATACGGTATGACAGAGCCCTCTCCAACTTTACCTTGCCTTCTCTGAGCTGTATATCCCAATGTATCTCGATTTCTCACTTTGTCCATTTCTCGATGTATCTGTCCCCCCTCTGCTATATCTGCCTCCCTCTCCATATCTCTCTCCTCCCTCCACCACATCTCCACCCACTTCACTCCCCACCTATCTCTCTCCTTGCGTCTCTCTCTCTCTCTCACCTCTCAACCGCTTTCTCTTTAATACCCGTCTCAACCACTCTTCCCTCTCCCTAATCCTCCCTCCCCCACTGCTTGTCACTTTCCCTCGTTCTTCTCTCTCCAATTTGCTCTCTCTCTCTCTCGATTTCCTCTCCGTTTCACTCCCTTTCACTCTCCACCCTCCTCTATCTCACTCACCTCCCTCGCTTTTGCGCGGGTTGAGGGGGGGTTGTGATGCAGGTAAAGGGCCCATCACGAAAATCTCCGCGTTAACTTCACCAATGCCCATGCGTTCACGGCTGCGCGCCAGCCAGGCATCCGGGCATGAATACAGCCACAAAACTTCGCCAGTTCGTACGATTAGCCGTTACGTTACAGGCAGCAGAGAGCAGCGAAGCGTCATACATCGTTGTACTGTGCTTCTATGCTCGCACACGTTCCATGCGTCTCGTCTTCGATCGGCGAATGACCAGTGGGCTAAATAACACCCACGACCCGCACGGCGTGAGAGGTAAGGCCGTAGCCATCGAGTCTACATTAGGGGGGGGACCAAATCTAGCAGGGGGTCCCCCCCCCAGAAAAAAAATCGAAATTTGAAAACGAATTTCCTGCCATTTCCTGCCTAAAATATATTTTTAAAAAAATTCACTAACACATAGGATGGACTTTTTATTTATTTTTTTACAATAATGCCTAATAGTGTATTGTATTACATTGCTCTGTTTTTTTCTTTTTTAACCTTTTCTTGTTTCATTGTATGTAATGGCAGAGATTAGGGATTAATAAAGTACAACCATAACCACAATCATATAAACAGAAATCTATTTTATAGCAATATATTGGGGGGGGGGGGACATTTTGAGCATATTTGAATATTGGGGGGTATGTGTCCCCCCTAACATATATATTATAATTACGGCCTTGGTGAGAGGAGGCCCCATCCAGCATTGAACTGAGACGAAGGGCTGTACATGCACATTGCACACAGGCGGTACAATGTACGTGTAAGAATGACAGACAAGACACAGTGAGGATACTGTAATGTACACAACTGTGCTCAAGTCACACTCATCGCTAGTTCAGGGGTCGGCAACCAAAATAACAAGAGGAGACGTTTATTTTGAAATTCGGTAAAAAAATATATAAACTTCAATATTTCAAGAGCCGCAATGCATTTGTGATGATTACGAGAAGGTAGTCCTTAATAAAGAACGTCACGAAGCAGTCCTTATAAAGAAACCACAAGTTGCCGATCCCTGTGCTAGTTAATAATTTCGGCACGGTCATCAATAATTGCACAAAAACAGCATCGTATCAAATGTGTGTTTTTTCCCCATCCAGATTGGATATCACCCAGCTCTGAGGAGGCAAACACGCTTTGGTGGAAAGAAGAAATCGACTTAAAAGTACACCACCAGCACCACCTAGTGTAGCAATTAGGGAAATTAAGGGAACTTTTACGATTAATGTCTGACATCTTCCGTGGCCGTTTGCTTATACGAAGTGGTATTTATTTTAGTTCAGCCACGGGTAAAGGCCCACCGAGCTAAAACATCTATTTGTCAAAGGTGACTCCCGGCATAAATGGGGTAAAAGCGTACAAGCAAATGTTTACATTGACAAGAGAAAATGTAACAGCGAACAATGTGAAAATTATTCAGAGTACTGTATTTTTATTTTATCACACGGCACGATGCCGAAGCAAACAAGTTTCAAGTTTCATTTATTAGGTATAGTCCTGTGAGCCATGCGGCTCTTAAGTCGGGTGCAACCGCAACAAACTAAATTTGAACACAGAACATCTTAAAGCGACAACGCGTAACAGAAACATCCTGGAATAAACCAGCAAAATATTCCACGCAAAAAAAAACATGTTAAAACGCTGTGTGTTAAAATCAATGTGGTGCAAGCCAACAACAACAACAACCATAAGACAATTTAGATTAACCATGTTTTCGAATCACCAAAATAAAGATGTAAAAACAATGTAACAACAGTAATCAAGACAACGAAGCTGAATAGAAAGAACAATACGCTCGTGTCAATATATAGTGAAACATGCATTTTCATATTCTTGGTTCTTTCGGTAAAGTCACGTTAATAAAATATATATAAAACAATATATTTTATTGTTTCCCTTCAACGTGACTTTACCGAAACAATCAAGAATATGAATCATTTTAACACGTAGGCTTTCGCGACCAATATTATTCATGAATGAATAATATGAATCATTGCAGTCACGAAAGCTTTAAATCAAAATGCATTTTCATGTCAACATTACGGACATACCGATGCTACACACATACACACCATAATTCCGAGATAACTTATACTTGTGCAAACACACAATTTGTAATATCCACGGTGATCCACGTGCGATCAATCCCATCTCACAATCGCACCGCAGTTAACACGTAGACTGCGAACGTTTAATTGTTTTGATCTTCCTAAAATATTATTAATCATTCGGCCTCCTCGTTATCGGAAAGCCTCGGCGAGGCATGGCCACCCGCCTCGGGGAGGGCCGGAAAACGGCACGCTTTCCAGGCAAGGTGCGCGCTTCACAATCGTGGCTAGGCCTCGATAAGCAAACAATTAACAAAAAAAAACAAATACAACCCACCCCCCCAATATAATGAGCGGCGACACACAGCGAGCGATAACGCGAGCCACCGAGTGTCGTTGACTGTTTTTTTTACCTGTCGGACAGGGAAATGATTTGCGAGAGATCGAAGTGAACGCCGCTGCCCGCCGTACACGCTGCCACGCTGTCCGCCATGCCCGGCAACGACGAGGGGTCACAGCGAGAGGCGGCACTTTGATAAAACATTAAAAAAAAATTGTTTGCGATGCTGCAGATTGCGCGGGCAGTTGGGCGCGTCGTTTAAAGAAAATAAAAAAGAAAATATACACACACAAAAAAACAAATTCGTCAATGACCACTGCTTTCAAAATGTTTTTTTTATGCATGAGCCAGCACAACAGCAGATGGTCCACTGCATCGCCTGGCGCTTTCTTTGGCCGTCTGGAACGCTCTTCCTTCCGATATTAGGAAATAATGCACGTTCATAATACTGTATGTACAAAAAATACATACCTGTATATGCTTCCAGGTGGGGGGGGGGGACGCAAGTTATAAAACAAATGTTTGAGAAACCAGGCAAATACAGTACTTGATGTGTATGCTGCAAGTTGCGTGGGCACTTGGGTTGCGTTGTTTAAACCAAAAAACGCAACACAGTTCGTCGATAACACTGCTTTAAAAATAATAACACATAAACTATCAAAGCGAACTGCGGTCATCCTCGCAGCAGCAGCAGCAGCTTTTGGTTCCCCGTCGACAAAGAAGGCGGTCACCGCATCGCGCGGCGCTTTCAGATGCGCTTCTGCGGCCGTCTGGAACGCTCTTCCCTTCCGATATTAGCAAATAATGCACGTTTCGTTATACGTAAATTAAAATGCTCCCAAGGGAAAAAAACCGTATATTATAAAATGTTGGAGAAACCATGCAAATGCTTGATTTGAATTTCTCGTTTTTGCTTTCTCTGGAGCACCTTTGGGAAACTGAATGTAATCTTGAAAATAAAAAATACCTGCGCGTCTAAAGAATCACGTTTTCATAAGTGTATTTTACCTGCTACGACTCAATCAATGGAACAAAAGGAAAAAAAAACCGTGCGCAAAGAAGCGTGGTCAAGAGTTGCGATAAAAATCTATTGTTTATTTTACCAGGTAAGATCCACTGGGCAATACAGCTCTTTTTCAGAAGCAACCTGGCCACACGTCAGCGCTTATTACGTGAAAAGTTACAGCAGCCAAATTATCTAAACGCATGTTTCTAAATGTGGAGGGAATAACCGGAGGACCCGGAGAAGAAATTCCACGCGACCACAGGAAGAGAGAGACCTGCAATCTCCAAATATACTTCTGTAGACCAGGCGAGGTAGGTAACATCTCGCCACTACACGGCGCACGATGGCGAGAAGAGACATACATTGGAACAAATGCATAAAATCTAGCATAGAGAGATCAAATATATAATTTACGATATTTAAATAATTTAAGTGGGCTTGCGTAGGGCAAGTAATTGCTGTAAGGGATGACAGACCGATGGTCAAGAGTTGCGATGGAGTGGCAGCCAAATAATTGAATCCGTACAGGAGTACACACTCCGAAGAGATGGAGTGATGAAATCAGCTCTCTCGCAGGTGCAGAGTGGATTATTCAATCTCGCTGAATTTCGGGATTAGGCGGCGGCTCGAGGAGGCATTCATCCAGCAGTGGATTGACCACGGGTGATTATTTTTTCTGTTTCAGATTGAATAGACCCTTACATTGCTCCTGCTCGGATTTCCGCGGTTGTGCTCTACAGATCTCTGATGCATTTTCGGGTTGTACCGTGCGTTGTTCAGCGTGATGACCGACGTTTCGCTTCCACGTCCCCGTGAGCTTCGCTGTGAACTGAATTCGGTCAGACCCTTATAATGCAGCAAAGCGCGTCAGCAATGCGAGTGCAGAATAACACACACACACGTGCGTATACCCCAGTGGATTGGAAGATCCCGTGGATGCAATCATTGCCCAATGATCACACCTCCCAATCCTCTTGCTCCTCCTGCTCCTTACATCACCCCCTCCTCTCCCGGTCCTCTCTTGTGCTCTTCACACACTGGCACATTTACGAACCGCCTTTTGCGTCCTGGCGGTCAGATTGCATAGGCTGTGCGCTGCGGGGGAAAAAGAATAGGGGAATGCCTATATTCTAAATTCATCGGGCATCTACATTTTAAGTGCACGCTTAAAGGGGAGTGTTTCCTATATTTATTTATTTAATAAATATTAATTCCATCTGTTGACTGCGGCTTAAATCCTCGGTCGTTTTGTGCCAGCTTGCTTTACGAGCGCGGGTTCATAAATCCCCGCTACGGTTGTGCGTGCGTGCGTTCTGTTTGTGTAGGCGCGTGTGTACAACAGCGTTCGGGGCTTGGGAGCGCAGGGCACTGCGTGGCACATCGCCACCATGGATGCAGAAAATATTCAGCTCTTGGAAGAAAGCAAGAAGAAGGCGTTTTATTCCGCGGGCTTCATAAGGTAGAGTAGTTTTTTTCTTAAATGTGTTTGTAAAAACAGTTATGTTAATCTACTGCTGGATGGAGGCCATCCGCACGTCGTGTACGTCGTGTGGGATGTTTGACCACACTTCGCCACCACGTTGGTCAGCGTGCGGGTTTTGCGAACTGCTTGGGGAAGTGGGTACGCAAAGCTGGCTTCAGGTTTAACGCGCCGCTCGTGATAGTCACGGTTGGGAATCGAACTCAGGCTGTGTGGGGTTCGTCGTGCAGTGTCCGAAACCGCTGCGCAAGACTTATGTGGTTCACTTTGAATTGTGTTTGGTGCCGAGGAGCGATTCGGACAGCGTGTAAACGTGCGAGTGATGTCAAATGTTGAGAATTTTTTTTTTTAAATATAAATAATTTTGTTAGATTTCTATTATTTAAAAGAGATGACGTTAATTAAAACATTCGGTAGTAAACGTTTTATTGAAATAAAAATAAGTGTTACGTACATAATGGGGATATTGAGAGGTGGTCACGTGGTTCGCGCCCTGCGCTATGAGCCTGGCTACCCGATTTCGATTGCCGGCCACGGCTAACATCAGTGGCGCGTGATGTCTTGGGTACTCCCACCCCTCCATCTAACCAGCCCTGACCTGCGTGGTGAAGTATGGTCATAGAGCCCCATGACCGACGCGGCACGCGGAGGCTTTCATTCAGCAGAGCATATGCACTCAGTTTGTTTAAATGTGTTTCATATTCTTGGTTCTTTCGGTAAAGTCACGTAGAAGGGAAACAATAAAATAATAAAATAGAAAACAATAAAATTCTCACGACGTTTCGACTGCAACACATGACTTTACCGAAAGAACCAAGAATATGAATCCCTGCAGTCACGAAAGCTTTAAATCAAAATTTAAATGTGTTTCGTAAATATACACAACGACTGGAATTTATATTTTATACACTATTTAGATAGTGTACAGTCGACTGAAATATCATCTCATCACAATTCACAATCATACGTCAGATGAATCGTACGGTCTTACATTTCAACACGTTTCGATTACCCTTGCCATATAAACACGCGTGTGTTTAATTATCTTCAAAATAATTTCTGACAATGGCACACACCACCGCCACCACCACCACCAAACACGCGAAATTATCGGAAATATTAGAAGCCTTACACCTGCATTCGTTCGTGTCGAGGCTGGTAGGACGCGTGTCGCACGCGATTCGATTTCGAAGGATATTATGTTGTGTTTAAACAATTGCGATAAAAACATCCGATATTATATACGACAAATAGTACAAGCAGAAGTGTATTGAATAACAGTAAAATTCATTCAGATAGGTATATGCATTGCTCGCAGATAAAACCGTGTTTAAATATTCAAGAGTTCGTGAACAAATGATAACATTAAATTAACGTTCAACCCTTCAGATGTCCCGAGGGTTGGCATCATAGTGTGTGTATATATGTATAAACCCACCACCTAAAGAAGGCATTACACTGTCCGCTATTTAAAATATATAATAAAACAAATGTTGAAGCTCTACATGCACGTGAACAACCCTTTTTTGAATTAACAGCTGATGAGGACCGCCCCGCGTATTTGGGGGTTATATGACCATTGTAGGGAATTGTTTAGATCATATTTCACCACGCTGCAAAACATACTTATACAAGTGTCATTTATATAAGCATGTCACAAGTAGTGTATTACTTAAATGTAACCCACCGATATCGGCCATCGCAATTGTTGAATATCAAGAAATCCACATCGCTTGCTATTTGCTTAAGTTACATCCAGCGCAAATGCGGGGGCGGTGCTAGTTGTTGGATGTGATGATAACGTTGGTGCTCTTAAGATGCGGGGTGTATATGTATCTATATACATTACTTCAGAGTATATCACGGACATTGCATTTCATCTGATATCTCGTCATTAGCATGCAAAACACCATGAACGATGTTCAACAGCTATGTAATTTATTTGAGTTGAATTATAATACGAATTGCGTCGGGAGTAGCGGACTGCGTCGCTCTGATGATGCCTCCTTCGTATTTGTGAATCGGGCATCGAGTCGTTCGTGCTATGTTCCGAACATACCGTGTCAACCCATACGGTTTACCCCGTATTCTTGTACAGGCAAATTGAGTTTTCAGGTCCATACGGCGTACAGCCGTTTCAATACGGGCATTTTTTTGTCTATTTGTTTGTGTTCATCTTCTTGGTTCTTTCGGTAAAGTCACGTAGAATGACAATGAAACAATAAAACAAAATGAGACAATACAATTCTCACGACGTTTCTCTATTGCGATGGGACTTTGTAGGACGAACGTTGAGATTTATAAGGGGCACGGTGTGACCAATAAGGTCTGAATTGGTCTGTAATACGGTAGGGCACTGATCAGGGGTTGACAGGTGTGATGTCCCATGGTCTGTTCTGGGTGACCACAGTCGTACACCAAGAGATTCGCATGTATTTAGTTTTCATTTGATTACGTGTGTAAAGTCGTCTGTAACAAACAAAAAAACTCAAACTCATTCGTCAATAACAATGTCTTAAAAGTAAACATTTATGGGCGACTGTTGGCCAATGGCTCTTTTTCACAGCAAAGAGATTGCTACGAAGAAGGGCTATGGCGTTTCAAAGCGGAGAGAGAGAAATCCTTGCTATGAAGAAGGGCCGTTTTCCGAAGCGTCGCCCATTATACATTTGTTTTACATTTCAGGCCAGTGTTGGAGACGAATCCCTCGAGTTAGATTTGTATGTGCTTGTGCACGACTGCCAACGCAGCGTCACAATGTTATATACCTTTTTTTTTACTATAACAAATACCCGTTTCAACATTGATATCGTTGCGTGCGGTTGGAAAATGTGGTAAGAGTCGAGACGTCCAAAAGCGTTGGTGGCGTGGGCGGTAATGATCTTTTTTTTTCATCCGCACGCACACCATCGCTGCTTCGTATTGTCTAATTCAATTACACGCTGGTGCACGAAGAGGACATTTCCGATGTCACGCACCGCTTAGCCGCATCCTCTCATCACTGCCTGCAGCGATGGGCGTCTCTTTGGACTACATTAACACTCCACTGCCGTCACTGCCCGATCGGATATCAAGCTCACATTTCCACCCACTACGTAACAAAGCGCATCGACAAATAGATGTTGTGCTTACCGTTTGCCTCTCCGCAAAAATATAACATGTGTTTCTTTGTGTTTTGTTCGCGTACACCAACCACCACACTGACCAGCGTGGTGAAGTATGGTCAAATAACCCCCACCCTCGCCCGTGGGAGACCCTCGGCTAACATTTCATTGACAAAAGGAGGCCGTACATGTATTTTTTTTATCATAAATAACAATACAGAGTGCTTCGCTTGTCGATGATGCTAGGGCATTGAAGTCTACAGTCTATGCTACGTTGGCATCGTCTACTACAGTATATAATCGTCTTCTTCGTATGACTGATGTTGATGAAGAACAACAGCTAAATCTTGACTTAAAGCTTTCGTGACTGCAGGAATTCATATTCTTTGGGTCTTTCGGTAAAGTCACGTAGATAGGTTCAAAGAAAATAACAACAAATAACTAAAAACTACGACGTTTCGATCGCAACACAAGCTTTCGTCACCAGGAAGAATAAAAGAGGAGAATAGCAACAGCTGTAATCGGGCATTTGAGGCGTTATATGTTCTATTCTGGGTGACCACAGTCGCACCCTTGGCATGTTTTAATCGCAATATTTAATAAACGCGCTTCGAGAACACAGCCACCTTCTTCTCCTCTGCTCTTCCTGTGATCCGGAACCGCCTGCCCAGCAATCCGTGCTGCCGACTCTCTGCTTCTGTCACTTCTGGAAGCGAGATCTTAACACTCCTTCTCTGCCTTCGGCTGTCTTCCTCTTAAATGCGAAACAGTGTGAGCAACGCCGACTGTTCCCGGCGCGCTGCACACAGCGCCCTGAGATGCCCTCGTCGTCATTGCCAGCCATGATCTATGCACTGCTGGATGAAGGGCCTCCTCAAGCCGCCGATCCTGCGATGTAGTAATAATCCACCAATAGCACGTGCACGGGAGCCGATTTCATGATCCCATCTCCCCGGGCGGACGCGCTCTCTCGAACGCGCTCCGCTCCTTGGCTGTCTTTCTGTCATCATTCTTGAACCATCGGCCATCCTCCCTTCGAGCCGTGACCGTGTTCTGCCCAAGCCCCCCTCGCTTAATTTGTCTTAACGGTTTGAACAATGCGATTAACGTTCGCAGCTTTCTCTAACGCTACACGTGTTTCTCTTTCGGTCTGTCGGTGCGATTTCGCGCGCCGTACACAATCCACATGGCGATTGTCCATCGGGGTTATTGTCATTCTTCATCAGGGTTCCGCACCTCCGAGAATCACGGTTGGCTACGTACGGTGCGAAAGAAGTCCAGCGTACATACGCGCAGCGAGCGGGAATAAACAGCGCGGCAGTTGAACCCGCGATGGCATAGCGCTGTGATATTTGTTTTACATTTGTCTCAACACATTTCTTTGAACATGTTGGGTTCAATCGAGTCAGCGTAAAATTACACGTTATTTTTAAAATAGTACAGTAGTAGTAATAATAGTAACGATGAGTATGAACCAAAGGCGTGGGCGAGGCCTCTTTATCTAGCAGTGTATTGATGAAGGGCTGTACATTAAATTATATTGTATTTATCCAGCCAAGGCTCAGCGTTCTCAAGGTTATTTACAATATAATCAATAGTTTGGATGTTATACAGCGTTTAAATACAACCGCGTTTCAAGACGCCGTATATAAACAGTGTGACGTAATATATATCGTAATATATAGAGTAATATATAGTAAGTAAGTATATACTGTATTCTTGAGAAGAGGCAGTCAGTCATAGACAAGATAAGAGGAAGGTCTTGAACCTGGACTTGACTGGGAACTTGGAGTCGAAATTTCTATGCAGCATGGTCTCGAATAAGGATGTCTGACCGATTCGTTTTTTTATTGGCGTTTTGCACGTATGTATGTA